GTTTCTACACAAAAAATAATGCGAATAACTGCTTAGTCTGTCATCATCATGCCTGAATCACAATATGGAGAGACGGAAATATTTCTATATGAACTAATTGATACTCGAGCACGGTTATAGGCATGATTTTATCCGCGAATTCATCGTTTATTTTGAAATCAACTGTAGTAGTAAGTACCAAAATTCACAACGTCAACGTCAAGCCGAAAACAGCGCGGCCTGCCATCCTCCCACTCAAACTGTGACCGTCGGGACATAAGTACATAGTTTTATTTTGCAGCAGCTATTACCTACGACTTCGTACTCTTGAAACTGTTACTGATATAAGCTTTTGTTTTGAGTAATGCTTTAAACTTCGAATCACGTTTTCAATTTTTAAGGATTCCGTAAAACCAAGATTAGATTGTAATTTAGGTGGTCGGGTTGGATTTGGTCCAGAGCTTTAGGCTACATCTGCGGTATCCATCTTCAGTGGCGCTGTCGGCGAGAGCGAAGTGCTCTTCTTGGCCGGTCGACTGAAACTGGTCAGTTAACACACACACACCCTCCTACCCTGTGCGGTCCCTCCACCACCCCTGTACCAGGCAACCTCAAACCCTTGAGGAGTGGGGGAAAGAGCAATCTGCTCCTCCCTCCTCTCCCGCCCGGCGTGGCGCTACGTGGTTCAGGCCGCTGCGCATTCCCCGAGTGTGTGCTGCCGAACGAGCTAACCCCCCTCCCCAATTACGCGTCGCGGAAGCACGTGGTGGACGTTTCTCCCAACTGTCGGTTCTCGACTTTTATGGACGGCCTCTTTCTTGGGGGTCCTGCGTTGGGGGCTTTGACCTAAGCCCCGCATTAAGGTTGGTGAGCCTTCGCTCTTTCCTCGTCGACTGGAGTCAGTCAGTCGTCGTCAGTCAGTCATTTGCTGTTAGTCATTCGTCTCCTGAGGTTAGCCCCGAGTCCGTGCTCGACTCTGGCCACCTCAATCGACAGGCTTCTTTTTGTCCACCCGTTGTACACGGGCTGTTCTTTCCCCTCTTGGGTGTACAACTATTGTCGGTCTTCTCTTCTTTTCTTTTGCCTCATCAGCTACTAGGGCCAAATGTCATCTTGTTGCAGCTGGCTTTTCGGTCTTTTATGACGCCTTATTGTTCTTGGGTCGTAATCCAAGGCGTCTTTAATCAGCACGTTACGATGTCTTTCGTTCTTTTCAAAGAACTTTCGGGCCCTCTCTTTCATCTGGATTACGACCGGTACCTGTCGTAGTTCGTGATATAGCACTCTGTTAGGTACATACCACGGTGCGTCCACCGCTTCACCGAGTGCTATGTTTTGTTGAGATATCGGTTAACTGGATGAGCGTGCGCTTTTATAGGTGATCGGCGGACTGAGGACTGAGTTGTCTGGTGGGGGTACTCTGGGCCTCTTGAGTGACGTGGCTTTTGCGTTGTGTTTTTTAGAATTAGGAACCACGTTTTGTTTAAAGCTAAGCCTTCTTCTTTTCGATTGAAATTATCATTGTGTTTGTAGATTTCAATTGCTTCTTTGTACATTCGGGATGAGTAGTGGGTAGATGTTGATAGGACTTCAGTTTGGTCGAACAGAACATTGTGGCCGTCTCGGAGTGCGTGTTCGGCCACCGCTGATTTATCAGTTTGTCCCAGTCGACAGATTCTTTCATGCTCCTTGATGCGTGTTTGGAAGCTACGACTATCTCTTTTTAACCTATATGTCTACACACTTCTCTCTCATACAAATTGAACTCAAGCAATCAGACAATATGGAACTATTTGACTCGACTGCAAAAATTAGCTACAGCAAGATCAACACTTTAACAGTTTTGCAAGACCAAGACCAAGGGTCATCTTGCAATGCAAGGCCAAGACTTCTGTTAGGTTGTAAGACCAATACCAGATCTTGCAACCCCTTGATGGCATTAGTGAATTATCAGCTATCTTTAGAAATTTGGTTACATTATTAGTAGTGACACCACTCACATGTTCCGCGGGTAAAACCTCGGGGCAGAAAGCTAGTTATGCAATAAATCAAAACAAAATCCAAATTGCACAGGAAAGAAATACAAAGGTAAAAATGCTTGAAATAGTTCTCCCAATATGCTGATTAAGTTGAAGGTAAACAAGACAAATACGTTGCTAAGCAAAATACTAAGTTACTTTTTATCTCCATTGTCCTTTAGTATAAAAACAGTTTTTATTGAACATGAATGATTTAAGATGCGGGCAGTCATTAGGGGGAAAGTTTGACCTGTCTGAGACAACGCTCACCTTTGTCTACGAAAAGTTTACGTTGGTGAACTTTCGGCAAGTCACATAAAATTTAATCATCGCAAGCATTCTGAAACATTGATGCACATACCCTAATTGACTAAGAAGTACTTTAACAGTTAAGCATTTCATCAAAAAAGCAGAATACAGGGTGCGTCATTGGATAATTATGAAAACTTGGCTTTATGGTAAAATTGGTATGATGACTTTGGCTAAAATGTTTTCAAAATGGTGGCACTTTCGGCTGACCCGGAAGTAGATACCAAGTTGCTTATTTTGGATGGAAACCCCATGTATTTTTCAGCTTTTGGAGTATTTGCGTAATTCTAAATACATCCCATGCGTAACATTAGCTACCTAACTCTAAGCGTTTTTGAGAAATATCAAGTTTTGTGTAAAAAATCACAAATGCAGTTCCTAAAGAGCCTATTAATTTTTCGTATATTTTTGTGCTTGCGCAATCGTTTGTAACTGGTTTCTCATAGAAATTCATTAGGGCTGTTTCATATGTGGTGTGTTGCTTATAAAAAGAGGAAAAAAAGAAAAAATAATGAAGTATCATCTCGTAGTCTCAAACCGCGGTCGTCCGGGCAATATTCACTGCCGCGTCGGTGCTCTATTAAATAGGCTATCGCGTTTTCTTTATTATTCGTAAGGAAACTCTTACTGAGAATAAATATCTACATTATTTTTGAAATGTCACATGACTTCGACACTAAAAGAAGCATACTATAGAGATATAGAAAACGAGTATTTGCCAATGTGTCATAAACTGCGAATTTACGAAGTAGGTAACGGTATACAAAACAGTCATTTTTATTGCTCAACGTGTTGAGTTTATGAAAAAAGTGAACTTTAGTCATTTTTTCAATTTACTTTTCATGCATTTTTCAACCACTCTGTATTATTAATGATTAAAATATCGCATGAAGTCTACTAGAGTAGCGTAGGTTTATAAGGGATCAATTGTAAATCGCTCGACAAGGACAAAAATATACGCAAAATTCGTAGGCTTTTATGGCCCTGCGTTTGTGATTTTTACACAAAATTTGATATTTCTCAAAAACTCTCAAAGTTGGGTATCGGATGTTATACATAAAATGTATTTAGAGTATTACTGTTTTACTGTATGCTTCAGTGACTTTTTTTTAACGACGTAGTCGCCTAGGGAGAAGCCTAAATGCCGGGGCACTGCTGCTGGTAAAGGGAGCATAGAGAGACCTTGTAAATCCGGTTTAAAAAACAGCCTAAGGCTACGGTCACTATTGGATGCGAATCCTGATTACCTCAAAACAAGGCGGTTACACTACGTGCGTTTTGGTAGTCAGTACGTATCTGCCACCCAGCAAATATGGACGAAGTTGACAATTTTATTTCCATGTAAGTCCTTTTCTGACGTTCTAGTAGGGACCACAAATAGTCTGAAATGTTATTTGACGAGTTGCTGGACCAACCAGAAAAGTGTTTTGAGTATTTCAGGATAAGCTGGATCATTCGATCAGGTTGAGATTGGGGAATTAGAGGAGGTTCCCAGTTATTCTTAAAGTATAGTTTTCAGACAGTTTAGATGAGTGCTCCTCTTGGTTGTTTTGGTCGCATAACCAATCCTGGCCCGATAAGTGGTCTTCTCGTAGAAACCACTAGGTACACAGAAAGCTTGTGAGAAACATCATTACATGAGAGACCTCAAGGCCATTGGAAAAGCGTATACATTTTGAAAACCAGGCGTCATGCATACAATTGTTCTCAGCTACCGACACGGTCCACATTGTACCCATCCATCCAGAATACGTTTTTGGTCTGATAAAGACCCAATTCTTTTGATTTTGGTCCGCTGAAGTCAAAGTCATAGACACTTTTTGTCAATACTGAGATAACGCGTAGCGGTGATGTCGAGCTGCTTAATCCGTACTGTGAATCTGTCCCTCCATTGTGTAAGAGTCGTAATTCTCACTGAAAACGGATTTCACGAATTGTGGAAAAGTGACTTGTTAAAAAAAAAAAACGGGTACATTGCAAACCATGCAGCTGCAGTTCAGCTCTATGATATCCATACAACGCAAATTATTCGAGACAAACCTATAGATAGTAAATGCAACTTAAAAAACGTCTATTCACGATACTGCTAGGGACTATCGCAAGTGTATTGCAAGAGAAAGGAGCATATTTTCACCAAAAAAATGTGAAAACCTAACTTGTGCTAAAAGCGTCCCTGTCATAACATGACCCTAATATTAGCATACACAGGGTCTCCAGAAATTTGGAACTTTTTGGAAAAACCAAGCTGATCTTCAATAAAATAGCGCGGAAAATGTAAAAAGGGAATTAAAGAAAAATACTGCTTGAAGTTGTCACTGTTAGGTTAAAAAACACGAGTTTGTTTACTTCCTCCTGAATTTACAACATTTGGAGCTGCTTAGGTCTTCTACTGTGTCAACCTAGACGGTTTCTGCATTATATAAACTAACCTAGGCAGCTCTGATGAAAACACCAAGGACGACAGCGATGTTCTTAATACACTCGCTCAGTATGTATAAAATCTTGAAGATGCTCAGCCAAATAATATCAAATCGATAACTACTACGTTATTGCTGTAGGAATGTGCCAATTTCGGTTTTTCAAATGTGGCTTGCTTAAGCTATACGCCGCGCGGCTTCAGATTTGCATACTGACTGACATAGTCATAATACAACAAAACGTCACGTTAGAGGAGAGGGAGTAACGGCGTTTGTCCACCGCCACGTCACCGAGAACTAGATGACGGCGCCGAAGAAGCGGTACATACATTTACATTACATTACTTAGCCGCGTGTCCACCGCACATCCGTCACCCGAGCGCCGTCATCCCGGCCGCCGAAATTGCGAGTAGATCGGCGTGACCGCTAGATCGTCGCCCGAGATTTTGACGGGCCGATGTGCCGGCAATACAAAACACGTATGAACTTGTCCACACACTGCCGTCGCCGTCGCACCGTACACGAGCTCAGTTATTATTTTGTTTGTAATCAATTATCATTAATTAGTATAACATTGCAATAAAAATGGCGAAAAAATTTAAATACGATATTTATTCATCAATAGAAATTATAGAAAGTAAAGAATGTTTGTGGGATAAAACCAAGGAAGTGTCCAAAGATAAAGTTTTGCGTAGAAATGCATGGCGCGATGTTTGTGCCTTTTTAGAGCCGAACTTTGAGGATATGGACCAGAAAAACAAAGACGAAATTAGTAAATACATGATAGTTTATTATTTATGTTTTTAATTAAGTAATTACAAGTTTAGATTTTATTCATCTGCCAAGGTGAGGAGCCGTTAGCAGTACGCCCACCATGCAGTACACTTCCTTCCCTTGGTAGATCAGACAGCCCATCGTGCATAAAAGACATGAACATATCCTCACCTCTGTAGCCATCTTTTTCACGTACAATATTATCAAAACGACGCATGCCTTAACTATACTTTTGCTAAGTTTTTTGTTTACATTTAGAGGGCGATGAAATATTCGCCATTTATTGGCCATAATGCCAAATGCACATTCAACGTATCTTCGTGCACGACAATGTCTATAGTTATAAATACGTTTTTTCACATCTAAATGGTTACCGCCAAAAGGACGTAATAAATGTTCAGTCAGCTGGAAAGCTTCATCGCCTAGTATAACATGTGGCATTCTGTTATTTTGAGATGAGTGCAGTGGAACAGGTGGAGGTATACTCAACCTGCCTTCAGTGAGTAGTTGATAGAAGTTTGTACGTTGAAAAATTGCGGAGTCGCAGTCTTTACCGTATGAACCGATATCAACATATACGAATCTGTAATCTGAATCAACTACTGCCAGAAGTACAATTGAGAAATATCCCTTATAATTAAAGTTCATAGTGCCAGATTTCGGAAATGTTTCAATCCGTATGTGTTTTCCATCGACACAACCGATGCAGTTTGGGAAATTAGCTCTTCGTTTAAATCCTTCCACTATTAATAACCATCGCTCAGTAGTAGGCGCAGCCAAGTGTTCACCACTTAAAATAGTCCATATTTGGTGACACACTTGTGTCACTATTCTGCTTATAGTAGAATAAGTTGTCGCCGGTTTAACCTAGCCATCACAGTCGAAAACGCGACTACCACGCATGACAGGTGGAACAAACTAAACCAGCGAAATCGGTCGCGGTGGACAAACGATCGCCGTTACGTCATATTAAACTCGGCCCGAAATAATCTCGTTCTCGGTGACGGTCCGGTGACGGCAGCGGTGGACAAACGCCCTAAGGGTCGAACAGCTCCACTTAGTATTTTTCGGATTATTTGTAATGACATTGCAGGAGGCGAGCTTTAGATAGTGTATCTATTTTACCACCCATCCCCCTCAACAATACGAGATGTATAAAAACTAAGAATTTGTTGAAAATTAATACCTGTATACAATAACGACAATAATAAAGCATATTTAATGTAAAATCTCAAAGAAAACATAAGGATAATTAACACCTATGGTTGCAGAAGATTTGGCATCAGATCAAGTGAAATTTTTTTCATTATTCTCTTGAATTTGGGTAATGAATTGGTTTCTTTTGAACTAAGGTCTAAGGAATGATATAATTTGATTGCATTGAAAATATGTGATGTGCAATAGAGATGTATTGTAGCGTAGGATTGAAAATGTATCTCTATCTCTAACATTAATACCATGGATATTTCCTCTACGTATGAATTTGCTGTCTCAATCTGACCGTGTTTGAATATCGAATCCTATAAGTCATTGCATTGAAAATATGTGATGTGCTATAGAGATGTGTTGTAGCGTAGGATTGAAAAAGTATCTCTATCTCTAACATTAATACCATGGATATTTCCTCTACGTATGAATTTGCTGTCTCAATCTGACCGTGTTTGAATATCGAATCCTATAAGTCATTGCATTGAAAATATGTTATATGCAATAGAGATGTGTTGTAGCGTGGGATTGAAAAAGTATCTCTATCTCTAACATTAATTCCATGGATATTTCCTCTACGTATGAATTTGCTGTCTCAATATGACCATGTTTGAATATCGAATCCTATAAGTCAGATTGAGGAGCTGGTATTTATGCACTTTACCAATTTTCAGCAAGTTAAAGTCATTAACGGCCTATGATCATATTTTATTCATAACACTCGATTTATTATTGTAACATCTAAGTAGGGATAGCAAACGAATAAGCAATACGATACTTTTCACAATAATAGAGATTCACACAATTGCTTTCTCGCAGATTTGTGTAAGCCTTATTTGCGCATAAAACTCTGAGAATAGCATAAAGCTGAAAAATTAGTTAGTTTACATGTTTAACAAATTTTAAATGATCCTCGATTATAGGTACTACCCAGGTTGTTGGATCGATCCACAGGAACTATTTTAGTACCTCTTAAATTTATGTTTGTCATTTTTTTAAGCATTTATTTTTGTTCCATTTGAGTTTGTTGACATATTTGTCTTTAAAGGGTTCAAATGGAGATTAACTCAGCTTTTCAATTTGGGCAAGTTCTTGATTAATGTTATTATTCGCCAAATGAATAGAAATTGTTGCCAAAAAGTTATATGCTGAATGATTTTACATCTGTTTCTAAATATATAATCAAATCACAGATCGCTGTGGTACACCAGAACATATTTTTTTGTGCAGTAGAGCGCTGTAAAATAATAAGTTGAGAGACGCGTGCATCACGTATCTTAGAAAGAGAACGCCAAACAATTGTAGTTCTCATGTTGCCTAGCAACGACTGTTCTATGTGCTTGGGAAAGGAAAGTCTCAACTTTGAGGACACCCCAGGACACCCTGTATTACGATACTATTCGTTTTTTTCATTACTTTCCTCGGTTTTGATTATTATCAATTGTCCAGTATTCGGAAATCTTTGAACGGCAGCGTACGTATCTTAACAGTTGTAATCGACAGAATCTACCATTTCTCCCTTCCAAAATTTCTTCGTTGAGCCACCCCGTTCCTCTCCTCATTTTATCATAAAATCCCAAGCATTGAAAAGAGGACGGAATGCTATGTGTGGTTCAATAAACCCCTCGATGATCGCGCCCTTTTCCGATGCTCCCCTCGTGCCTTGATGGCAAATGCTTGGAGGGCATGTTTGGGAGGTGCATCTCCCTCCCTTCCGATGGTGAAAATTCCCAGAATTAATTCAGACAAACAAGACGGAAATATTATTAAATCGACGCCAGCGGGCACTGATGCTCCGGGAACACGTGACCGTAATGGCTCGTGCAGAAGGGATGTACCGCTCGCTGCGGGATGAGTTACATTTGTGTACTCTGTGCGGCGTGAGGGTCATCCTTTAAAATGGACATGAAATGCTTTTTAAAGATTTAGATTCTTTTGTTCAAAGCTGGTGAAAGTTCTGACAAAAATAAGAATTGAAATAAGTACCATCTACTACCAGTTTTATATCGCTGGTTAAAACATGTTTGTATCTCCAAAGTGACTTTCATTTACAATAGCATACTCGAAGTTTATTAATGACATGGTTCTCAAAACTTAAATTTGTGTCCAACAAAATGCCTAAATTCGTAGTCTCCTCTACAATTTCAACAGATGTGTCACCTAAAACAATGGCTGTACTCATCAATCCTTTAAATTTTGAAATATCTAACCTAAAACCAATGCAGCAAGCTTTAGTTTTTGTGGGATTCAGTTTCAAACAATAATTTTTGGAATAGTTTGCAATCATTTCTAGATTTACATTTAACTCTTTAATCAATAAATTAACTTCATTTGGCTTGCAAGCTTTATACATTTGTACATCATCAGCATATAGATATATATTCCAATCATGTGACATAAAATTTAATAAATCAGATGTATAGAATGTAAATAGTAATGGACCTAATCACTTCCTTGCGGAACACCAGAAATTACATTTTGAAAAGTGGACATTTTGTTGAATATCTTTGTGCATTGGGATCTGCCAGTCAGGTAGTTGTTGAACCACAGTAAGGCATTACTAGACAAATCATAACATTGTAGCTTTTTACATAATACTTCATGGTTGACCATGTCAAATGCCTTACTGTAATCTAACATCACCAATACGGTCACCATACCATCATCCATGAACTTGACTATATCGCTAGTTACTTTTATAAGCGCTGTGGATGTGTAGTTTTCTGAATCCCGACTATGTATCGGGAAGGACTTCATTTACTTCTAGATGGTCACGAAGTTGGTCAGGTACCACTTTCTCTGCAAGCTTGGACATCACAGGTAAGGTGCTTACTGGTCTCAAATCCTTCATCTGTATAGCGTTATTGACTTTTGCTAGTGGCGTTACAACCGATTTCTTCTGTAATGTTGGTACTTCTCCTGTGTTCTGGGATTGATTTATGACATCCGTTATTCCACTTTTGCAAAACGAAAATACATTTTTCAGCATGCTTGTGGTAATACCATCTATTCCAGCAGCATTTGATTTTACTTATCTCAGTTTCGTTTCAATATCATCACATGTAACTAGATGGAACGAACTTTTAGTTACGAGTGACTTTTTCTGCCCAGATAAAGTGTTAAGAAATAACTCATCAGGTTGGATGTCAGCAAGCTGTCTGCTGGAACTGTATAACAGTTCGCATTAGATAGATATCGACAGAACTTATATCCTGGATAAAGATCAGTTGCTCAGCTTTTATTTGATGTTGTACCTGAGACCAAGTCTAGACTGTGCTGACGAGTTTCCAGAAAACACGGAACAGCTGTCCATAGTTGGCCATGTGTGGTGAAATGGATGAAAGCTATATTGCTAGTTTAAACAAAAAATTAGAAAACCAACAATTAGAGATCGATCGATATAGGATACTTCAAAAGCCAATATATCAGTGTTATCCAAGCCAATTCGACTTTTTCTGTATGTACTCCGGAAATCAGGTGTAAAAAGATGGGTGCTTCAAATGAGATAATCCCAAGAACTAACGCACATCCGTTTGGGCTCGATGAAGCCAATAAGCTCAAACGTACCTCGCTCGGAATACCAATCCTTCTATTTCTGCTCCTGTTTCTCTATGGCGGACATGCTTGCGATAGTCCTTTGTTTTGCATGAAACGTAATGTTCAGACTTGAATTTTTTACTAGGGTTTCTATCTACTGGCAACAACATTTTCATGAAACGAGTTTTGGAGTCAAGTGCCGTGAAAAAATACGTCGACGAGATTTCCAATAAAAAAACATGAAAAAATCGTTAG